GCATCATCCCGTGAACAAATATATTGGATAGGAAGTTTTATGGTAATATTCAAACTAGCATATCTTAGAGTAATTGTTGGCAGCCACCAAAGGTTTAGTTTAGGGTGTTCAGCGTAGGGATTTAGAGTTGAAGAAAGTGAACAGGTTATTCTCAAGATCTTCTCTATGAATATATTGGGTGGATTGTTGAGGAAGGTAAAGTATGTGTAGTCACATTAGGCCTTATGAAATCTCGAAGGAAATAAGCCAAACTATAAGTATGATATTTTCCCTATTATTGTCCTTCGTGTACCCGGTGTTTCATGCGTCTATGTCTAAGGAGGTAGCTGGAAATCCTTTGTCTATGTTCCGTTAAAGCTAGTGAAGGTGATGTTATTGGATAATTGGCCTATGAGAGGTACCTAGTTGTCATCCCTATTAGATAAGTCTGGGAGATGAGACTGCCGTTAATGGGTTAGGGCGAGTTCTGTGAGTCGAGAAGGTCGCCTTGAAGGCCGAAAGTATTGTAGAAAGAAAATATTTTCGCTTGGTTGGATAGAAAGTGGTTGAGATTTGAAAGGTACTTTCTATGTGTTATGATTTAAATATGTGCAGCTCATGTTCAGATATCACCCTTGATAATATAATGCCTGTAATATTGAGATCAGTGTTGTTGATATACATTGTGATGCTTTGTCGAGTTGTGGATGTGTTGTTAGAATGGTTTTGGTAATTCTCTAGCAGGTGGATAGGCCCAATTACAAAGGAGACTCTGCCGAAATTTCTGAAAAAATTTAGAGTTAGTCAAAATTTAGGGACTTGAGGTATGTGAGAAAAGAGATATATTATGTTAAGTGTTTGGGGCGGACTCTACTTCTCATTCGAGGACGAATAATCCCAAGCGGGGGAGAATGTAAGTCCCGGAAAATTTCGCAAGTAATTTAAGATTTCGTGGTGCCAAGATAGGTTAATTATATTACTTTATGTGCAGACGAGGACTATTAATATGATGGATATCAAATGGATATGGTAATAAGTGTACAAGGCATATTATAAGTGATGTGGGGTCTAAGGAGAGGCCTAAGTCTAAGTCAAGTTGGAAAATTACATGATAGACTAAAGTTCCAAATGAGTACGCACAAGACCAAACTTTGAAGGAGCATATCTACATATATATAAGGAGTTATGTGACGAAGAACCTATCAAATGAAAGATCTCGAGTCTAGGTTCTAACTCTTCAAACCGTTCGTCATTCAGACACGCATACAAAAAGTTATGACCAAGTTGCCGAAAGATGGCAAATGCAATTCTGCGGACAATTGTGCGACCGCAAAACAATTGTGCAAACCGCAAAATGGTCGCAGGCCTGTCCAGTGCAACCCAGTTCTGGGCATCAGTTTTGCGGTCCGTTGTGCGATCGCATACCCGTTCTCGGTCCATTATGCGACCGCAGACCAGAGTTCGGAAGGTTCATTTTCCTATTTTCATAACCCGACCCCATTTTGATAAATAGCCTTTGTGGCTTATTTTGGGGCGATTTTCTGAGGATTTTAGAGAGAGGCAAGAGAATTTTAGAGAGAGAAGGAAAAAACCTAACATTCTAATCATCCAATCTTTCACCAATCCTCAAGAATCAAGGAAGCTATTCACTAGACTATCATCTATCCGGGTAAGCCCTACTCCTAAGCTTTCATGCAAGAGGTTATAAGTCCAAATATATTGTGGGGTTGGAAATAAGTCATGCATGTGGCACTATGTTGTAGTCTGTGGGATTAATGAACTATTTTGGGTAGTTTCTTATTGAAATTGGTTGGGAGAAGAAGGATTTCCAATATAGAGCCTTGTAGTCTATTTCACATGTTAGGTGTTTAACAAAATTCCTGAGAGAGTCACACAATGGGAATCCTTCTAAGTATTAACCAATTTTCACTATCTTCCTATAGATTATTATTGCTAGAAGTGTTGGTGCATTGTAGTAACTTAAGGAAAGCTCAAACAAGGTATGTTGGCTAAACTTTCTCTCTTATAATCGAATTCCATAATGTTATCGTAAGTTCAAGTATGGTTGGCTCAAGAGTTCCTAATTTCTAAATTCCGGGTTATTCCCTATAAACTTGATTATTCCGAATGGGCCTTCTGTCGAAAGATAGATGTTCACAGTATGGTTTGCGTATTTAAATGTTATGGCTTTGAGTCATGTTTTAAACGAAAACTAGTATACCAATTGGGTGAGAAAAACTCGATGTGCTTAAGACTCCTAATAGCTCATATGTGGACCTAAATTCTTGATTGGGAATGTCTTGCTATTGATAATCTTTAAAGATGCTTGAAAATAAAATAAGTGAATTGAGGAAGTAGAGTGTGGCCAATGAGCCAGGAATTTAAGTTATAGTTGTGGCTAGTGGTGCCAATGAAATGAGAGTATGCGATAAAGAGTATGAAATGAGCCTCGACTCAACTGTTTTAAAATGACTTCGAAAATAAAATTGTCTAAAAGCTTTTGTACTCAATTCATGCCCATAAGTGGCTGTTTTAACTAATGCTATAAAAATATCCAACGTGATTCGAGTTCTTACATACTCAGGCGTTGAAATTGTACATTGTCGTTTTTGGGAAAGAGTATTTTTAAGAATAAATGGTGTATTGCTTGTTTATAATTTTGATGTGTATTTCTCTTGTTGGTCGGTGTGCCCCATTCTTTGGGAAGCATGTTTGTGTTTAAAGTTTCCATTACTAAAGAATTTGAGGTTTATGATTTCCGAAATATTCTATATGTTGATATTTGATAATGATCCTTGAAAATAAAAGAGGTGAATGTGTGGAACATGAAACACGGCCAAACGTGCCAAGTGAAATAATATAATTGTGGTTGATGTCTCATATGAGATGGCCTAGTTGATCGGGTCGTGATCGGACGCCAAGCCGTATACATGGTGGTGACTGTGTTGGAGATATTAATTGAATTTGTAATTGTGGTTGATGTCTCGCATGAGATGGTCTAGCCGATTGGATCGTGATCGGACGCCATGCCGCATACATGGTGGTGACTGTATCGGAAAAATTGTAATTGTGGTAGATGTCTCATATGAGATGGCCTAGCCGATTGGGTCGTGATCGGACGCCATGCCGTACACATGGTGGTGACTGTATTGGGAATTGAAATCAAAATGGTGAATAGTGGCATATCGGTACTAAAGACTTCCCCAACTTAAAAATATGGGAATTTAATTGAAAACTTATCTCGTTCCTAATTTGATATTTGGTAATTGTTCAAAGCTTTAACTGATTATTATGATTGTCCTTACTTGCATTATTGTTCGTTCTTTTGAGAGGTGCTTAGTCATATATACTAGTACTATTCGACAGTACTAAAGTCCCTTTTGCCGGCGGCCCTGCATCTTTAAATGGATGCAGGTGGTTCCATAGCAGGTGTTGTTGATCAGCGATAGTCGTGCATCCTCTTCCCAGCAGACTCGGTGAGCCCCACTTCATCCCGGGATCATGTATCTTTTGTTCATTTTCTTATCATGTTTTGAGGTATAGCCGGAGTCTTGTTGCCGCCACTACTATTGTACTCCTTATAATTATTAGAGGCTCCGTAGATATAGTATGTGTCGTATATTGGTGTTGGGGAAAGACAAACAATTCATGTTATGTTTTTAATCACTGTTCCACTTTAGACTATGAAAATGTATATATTTTCATAGTCAGATATTCCGCGGCCGCGCTTCATCTCGGGATCATGTATCTTTTGTTCATTTTCTTATCATGTTTTGAGGTATAGCCGGAGCCTTGTTGCCGCCACTACTATTGTACTCCTTATAATTATTAGAGGCTCCGTAGATATAGTATGGGTCGTATATCGGTGTTGGGGAAAGACAAACAATTCATGTTTATGTTTTGAATCACTGTTCCACTTTAGACTATGAAAATGTATATATTTTCATAGTTAGATATTCCGCGGCCGCGCTTTTCCATCACGGTCAGCGGTAGAACTTGTGCTCAAATTAGCCTCTCTGAACTTTACTGTCGCGGGTCGCGTATTTGTGGACGTCTTAGCGGCGGTCCTCACGCGGCCGCGTATTTTGTCCACTCTCCACGCTCCAGTTCCCAGCTTTGGATTTGTGCAAGTTTAACTCCTTCATGAGTTGATTATGGCTTCTTTGCCTCATTTTGACCAAAACCTGCAAGAAAGCACACTAAGTCAGTTTTCGAGAATACCTTTACGCATTTTCGACCCAAAACATAAGCAAAAGATAGCACCTAATAGGTTAAAATCCATAATTATCAGCTTGCTTGACCGGGTTCACTCGATTGAGCGTCGGCCGCGCTCCCCGAGTTTGGGGCGTGACAATATGCATATTTCACTAGTTAAATATTGAAGAAAGCTAATACATTATTAATAAATTCATAACTAAACGTATAAAGATTTAAACTCTAAGGCAAACATTTTAAAGCTACCTAGAAAAATAAATTCTTTCAAGATTGATAGAAGAACTTTGAAATTGTAGCTTGTTTTGTAGATTTATTCTCTTACTAGCGATATAAAATTTGAATTGGCGAAGATTTGTACCCGATTTTTCAGCAAAAAGGTATCCAATGGCTTTCCCTTGAAGACAATCTAAGAGCTACATTTTTTATCTAAATATCTTTTGGGATTTGTCCCATGAAAAAGATATCACGTGCAAATCTTCAAATCTTATATCTTATACAGGATAGAAACTTTATTTAATGGAAAATATTGTGTGCATATTTTTAAAACTATTATTTGTAATCTTAATAATTTTATATGGCTGTCATCCAGGGGTAATTTTACAATAATATTCTACTATAAATATGGTTATTGTTGTTATAGACAAAAAATTATTATAGAGAGGTAAAATATAACTTAAAAAATCAGTTCTGAAAAAAACTCTGTTTTTATAATGAATAGTTGTGTTCAAAACCACAAGCGAGAAAAAGATCAAAATGGTCCTTAATTTATAGGGATTGGACTATTTTAGTCCTATTTTAGTAGTCTGCTCGTGTTTCTCAATGTTCCGCACGAATCCCTGTTGCTAATCAAAATTTCTGCTGTAGTTTCATCGCCTGTATCCATGTCGGTATCATACCTTCGGCGTTGTCTACACACCCGTATACCCCTTCGCTGCCTTTTCACAGAATCTTCAGCTAATTCAGAGCCAACCTCAACCTCAACTTCAACACCCAATTTGGTTTCAGACGCACTTTTCAAATCTAGAGTTTCAGAACTGATTTCAAAGCAGCACTGGTCTCAACTCAAGGACCTAATTAAACCCATTAACCCAACTTCTTTTCTTCAACAACTTTTTGATTCTGGGTTTGATTCTGCCTCCATTTTGCCATTCTTCAGGTGGTCTCAACATGGTTATCAGGTTTACCACCCTCTTGACCATTTATTCAAACTGCTTATTTTGTTAGTCAATGATAAAAGATACCCAAAGGTTCGATCTTTATTGCATGATTTTGTTAAGTATGGGAAAACCCATACGGTTTCTTCTGTTTTTCATACACTCTTGACTTGTAGTGATAATGTTTGTGCTAATTCTATTATTGTTGACATGTTGGTATTAGCTTGTGTTAATAATGCTAAGCTGGATTTAGCTCTGGAGGCTTTTAATAGAGCTGGAGATTATGAATTTAAGTTATCTGTGTTTTCGTGTAAACCGATGCTTAAAGGGGTGGTGAATGAGGGGAAATTTGAGCTAGTAGAGCTTTTGTATAAGGAGATGATTAGGAGGAGAATTGAGGTTGACGTGTACACGTTTAATATTGTAATTAATGGGTTGTGTAAGGCGGGGAAGTTGAATAAGGCTAGGGATGTGATGGAAGATATGAAGGTTCGGGGGATTATTCCGAATGTGGTTACTTACAATACGTTGATTGATGGGTATTGCAAGAGGGGTGGGGATGGGAAGATGTATAAAGCTGATGCATTTTTGAGAGAAATGTCGGAGCAGGGGGTGAGTCCAAATGAGAGAACTTATAATACTCTTATTGATGGGTTTTGTAAGGATGACAATGTCGGGGCAGCTATGAAGCTCTTTAAAGAAATGCGGTTTCAAGGGATGAGACCGGACATTGTGACGTTTAACTCGTTAATTAATGGGCTCTTTGGTGATGGGAAAGTTGATGAGGCTCTTGGTTTACGTGCAGGAATGGTACGTTTGGGGTTGGAGCCTAATATTCGGACTTATAATGTACTGATAAATGGGTTTTCAAAAATGAAGATGTTCAGAGAGGCTAAAGAGTTGTTTGATGATGTTATGAAGCAAGGGTTAAATTTTAATGTACTTACTTTTAATACAGTTATTGATGCTCATTGTAAGGCTAGCAAAATGGAAGAAGCAGTCGCACTTCGTGAGTTGATGTCGAACAAACTGATTTGTCCTAACATTTCGACATATAATTGCTTATTGGGTGGTTATTATCGAGAGGGAAATATTGAAGCAGCAAAAAAGCTACTGGAGGAAATGGAGGAGAAGAGTGTGAAGGCTGATGTAGTAACTTACAATATTCGAATAGATGCAATGTGCAAAAGGGGAGAATCAAGAAAGTCAGTTAGACTTCTGGATGAGATGTCTGAGAAAGGGCTGATCCCAAGTCATGTGACTTACAACACTTTGATGGCTGGCTATTGCCAAGAAGGAAACCCCAAGGGAGCTGTTACTATTAGGAAAAGAATGGAGAAGGAAGGAAAGCAACCAAATGTCGTCACTTACAACGTCTTGATTAAAGGTTTCTGTCAAAAAGATAAGTTGGGAGAAGCAAATGCTTTTTTGAATGAGATGTTGGAAAAAGGATTGGTACCCAATAGAACTACCTATGACATTATCAGAGAAGAAATGATAGAGAAGGGATTTGTCCCGGACATAGATGGACACCTCTATAATGATGTTGTCAATTGTTAATTATGGCCGAGAATTTTGATAGTGGTCTAATAGACTCATTCCGTCATTGCTTTTGGTACCCCGTATTCTGTCATTGTTATTTCACACTTAAACTACTTTTTTGAGTACTCTGCTCTTCGAGAGGGAGCGAAAACTTTTGTGGCTCTTGGTTCCAGAGCAATGCAGGTGTGTGCTTTTCTCCTCTTGACACTCTTTCTCTCTTTTGGTTAGAGTAGTTAAAGATACTAGTTATATGGAGATTATCTCATCTTCATAACTTTTTTTGTGTACATCAAGGATTGGTTAGTCATATTGAATGGGTGCAACTCAATGGAGGATGTGTCTGCTTCTCTTTTGCGCCACAAAAAACAATCTTCTGTGCTCAGACATAGTCGCAACTGATGCAAAAGGTGAAATTAGATAACAGTTCTTTAGTTCTTGTTTTTTCATTTTCTTCGTGCAATCCTTCTATGTGATTATAGTGAGATATACGTCATAATGGTGTCAATGGATGAGCTGTTATTTCCGAGAAATGATGGTTGATTTCATCCAATATTTGGTGATGTTAATTTCGCTGTTGAGTCTTTACCACTAAAATCTGTCAACTGATGTATAATATGATACACAACATATTAATGTACTCAGGTCCCTGAGTATCATGTAACAGTTGAATTAGTTTTGCGAGGGGTCTGTGATGGATAGATTAATGTTCTTGACTCAATACAAGATTAAACTGAAATACTGCTCAAATGCATGGAAGAAATAGAGTTGTTGTGAGGAGCCATGCATGAATGTCAAAATAAAATGGTAATTTGAGCTCTTGGGGAGATTGTTTGCCCTTGTAGGAAGGTTCAACTTTATAAGAACCTTAGATAGATGGTCGTTTAGACATGATGCTAGCTCTGAGTTAATTGAATCATTTAAATGATGAACTGTAAGTATAAAGATCCAAAAGATAAAGTATGCAGATAACTGAGGTTGCTGATATTGTCCTAGAAACTTACCTGCAATAGTTTGAGACTGTCTTTTTTTATCAATATAATCATTACTTACCTGTTCAAAGAAAAAATATCTGAAAGAGTTTGAATTGTTCTTCCATATTCTTATTTTATTCTCGTGGAAAAAAGGTTTATACAATAAATGATTTGCAAGTCATGTGTACTGTCATGCTTACAATATTTAGATGCTTACAAAATTTACATTTTTGGTGTAAGAGGAGGACCATTGTGCAGGACATAGGAAACATCCGGACCTTATGAGCTTCTTTCACTCATAGTAGGAGACATCCAGGACTACTTGTACATTTTCAGCCACTGCATATAAATGCAACAGAAATGAATAACACCGTAAACATTGAACACTATTGATCTAATAGGAAGCGTGTTACTATCTTCATTTTGCTACTAGGAATTCCAGTTTGTAAATGATTTGATTTAGATGAAACTGGTATTCCCTACTCATTCTTTCTCTTTAATTCAAGAGTAGGTAATGTTTTCGGGGCTTATGGTGGTGGGAGTTGGAATGAAGCTGCATAGCATTGTCGGAATATGACTTCTAATTTAGTTTTTGTTTGTTTACTAATTGTATGGGCGAAAAACTTCACGTCATATATTTGACATGGTCAACAGAGATAAAGCCTTTGAAGGTCCATGACGTGTCGATCTAACCCAAAGGTCGAGGTCAGATTAGGAAGGCAAATTGTCGTCGAGGACGAGGTGGCTCGACAGAAGACGAGGACAAGGACGAGTACCCGACCTCAGTACGCAGTAATGGCTAATTTAAGGATTTTGATTTCCTAAAGGAATATTCTAGTGAATATTCCTCTCTGTTGTACTATCTAAGGTTTTATGGCCCATGTACCCTTATAAATAGGAAGAGATGAAGTTCTAGAAAGGGGATCGGACATTTCTGTAAAGAACAACATTGACATTCTCTGTGAAGATTCTCTCTTTATTGAATACATACAAAGTTTACCTTTATACTCCTTTTCTTCTATCTTTCTCTCCCGATCCAAGAATAATCGGAATATTTAATTGCTTATCATCATCCATCATTGTCAGGAAGCTCAGTGGAAAATCTCACCCTTGTCGGGTGAACCTTGTTCTATTTATTACTTAAATGCCATTTATTACTATCTTTCTCGTTCTTAAGCCATTATTGCTCTAAGACACTCTTATCTTACAACACACATATGATACTCTCCATAAAAATACTAGATTTGCTACTCGGATATTAATATTGACTTGGATTAACCCGTTTCTCTATAAATCTAATTGTATTTAAACCTAGATCTAAATTTTGGGTTATACAGTTCGGCGCCTTGTGTGGGAATTTCTTAGTCAAATTTTTAGTTTCCATTTAGATCTACAACTTTCGTGACTTGTTAACCTAACGTGCTGTAAAGTTATCCTTTCTCTTTGCGTATACAAGGATTCCATGGCAAGTAACCAAGGAAACAGAGCAAAGCAACGGACAATGTCCTGCTCAACCTTATGAGTGCCATCGACGAAGGGTATGACACCCAAGATGAGGAGGTAACCCCTACGGCCTCCCCCAGATTAGGGAAGTCGCGTACACCCTTCTGCAGCACCACTAAACCGAATGGGAAGGGGGCTTCCATGTCCGCGGGAGAGGGAGCGGCACCTGCCATGAAAAAGCTCCTCGAAGCTTGCTGACCGACACTCTGGTCAGCGTAATAAGCAAGCAAGCCCCATGCACGACCACGGAGACCACTAGGACCCATGCAGCACAACGTAAGAACGAACAAGATGAGCTACCCGACCCTCCTACTTCAGGTAACACTCATACAATTGTTTGACAGTGCAGGTTACAGCATCCTCGCCGCCGTGCTAAAGAGAATGGAGGAAATTGAAAACAAGAACAAGGCGCTCAAGGAACAAATAAAGGAGCACCAGGAACGGGTAGACAAAGTGCCCCCAAACTGCTACCAAAAAGAGACGCCGACAGGTTTGTGGAACAGCCATATAGGGAGGAAGAGACTCCTCATGCCATACCAAAAACTTTCAAGATGCCTCCGTGCCTCCGAATCTACGGCGGAACGACTGCTCTCGAAGACCATGTGACTCACTATGTCACCGCCATAAAAGGCAACGACCTCACCGAAGAACAAGTGTCCTCCATCTTGTTGAAAAATTTAGGTGAAACCCTCACAGGAGGGGCGTTGACGTGGTATTCGCAACTGCCGGTCTATTCCATAGAAACATTCGAGGAGATGGAAGACAAGTACGTGACGGCACATGCTAGGGCCAAGAAAGCTGAAACGAGGGTGAATGATATCTTCGCCATCAGACAATCCCCGGGAGAGAGACTACTGGACTTCCTAGCCCGATTCCACAGGGTTAGGATGACTTTACCAAACCTCTCTGAAGGAATGCCGTAGTAGCCTTCCCAAACGAGCTGAACAGAGAAGGCTCAAAGGCGACCAGAAAGTTACTGAGTCGATTGATGAAGTACCCTCCGGCTACCTGCGACGAGATCAATGCTTGCTGTGCCGAGGTCAGGGCAGATGACGAAGACCTCAATGGGCCAACCCAACAACTCACCTCAGTACAATCCGAACCCCGGAGGGAACGCATGGACAACGCGAGGAGAGACCCTCCGGTATAGAGATCGGACAGAGATCGGCATCAACCTTACATCAAGGCACCTGTCCCCAACTTCCGCCGACGAAGACGACACTTCTAGGACGAGATCAGACATTCACAAAAACGATCAAGGTATGCGCCCCTTACTATCTTCTCATAACTTTTGTGTGTCACCTACAGAGGTGGTCTACACACTCGAGAAGCTCGGAACAAAGGTGAAGTGGCCACCAAAGATGAGGTCCGACCCAAGCACCAGGAAGTCTGACGCCTTCTGTGAGTTCCACCAAGAACGTGGACACAAAACGGAAAATTGCCACGCTCTAAGATTAGAAGTAGCGAACCTGCTGCAGCAAGGACACCTCAAAGAATTACTCGGCGACAAAGGCAGGAACACCTTAGCAAGGGGTCGAGAACGCCCAGGCCCACCAAAGCGGCCCTCGCTCGCTCGTACCATCAACATGATTATTGGTGGCAGTGACGACGCCTCCATCAACGGCATCAAGTTCACCGCCACCCCCAAACTCAAGAGATCAATCGCCCATGAATGGTATGACAGCGTCGAAGAAAGTATCATCTTCGACGAGTCAGATGCCGGCAGTTTGACTTTCCCTCACAATAATGCACTTGTCATTACTTTACGAATGCTTGATACTGATGCTAGGAGAATTATGGTAGACGACGGAAGTGGAGCGTGCATCATCCATCCTCGACTCCTCGTATTGATGCGACTTGAGGATAATATAGTGTCGTGCTGTATTACACTAACCGGTTTTAACAATGCAGTTGAACGAACTTCCGGCAACATCATACTCCCCGTCCTTGCCGGTGGGGTGACGCTGGAGACCACATTCCATATCATGGATCAGGTTACCGCATACAACGCCATCATAGGTCGGCCATGGATACATCCCATGAGGGTAGTCCCCTCCAGTTTGTGATCAAGTTCCTGACCCCCTGGGAAATATTCAGTATACGACGGAAATAACACACTTCTCCGGAATGCTATTGGATCGCCCTGGACGGTACGTCGACCCAACAAAAGAAAAAAAAGGAAAAAGAAGCATAGCAATCAGCAGGGTCGAGGTCCCTGCAGGTCGAAGCTAAAGATACCGTTATGGACCCAGAGACGGTTAAAGCCGTAGGGTCGACCATAGAGGACCTCGATCCCGTCCTACTAGACTACATCGACCCCAGCAAAAAGGCCTACATCGGCTGCAGGCTCCAAAATCCAGGTAAATTTAGTCAATTCTTAATAGCTAATGCAGATTTGTTTGCCTTTAGCCAAGCAGATATGCCCGTTTTTGAACATTTTCGTGACTAGCCTTTGATAGGTAGCTCCCGCGTTCTTCAACCCGAATGGCATGACCCTGTAGCAGTACGTTCCCCTGTGAGTGATGAACGTAGTTTTCTCTTGGGCATCTTCCTCCATGAGTATCTGGTTGTAGCCTGAGTAAGCGTCTAGGAAACTTAGCAACTCATGTCTTGTTGTCACGTCGATGAGCTGGTCGATCTGTGACAATGAGAATGAATCTTTTGGGCAGGCTTTGTTCGGATCGGTGAAGTCCATGCACATCCTCCAGTTTTCGTTCTTCTTTTTGACCATTACCACATTGGCAATCCACTTGGGGTACTTAGACTCCCTAATAGAGCCATTGGCCAATCATTTCTCTACCTCCTCGTGGACGGCTTCGTTGATGGTGGGGTTGAACTTTCGCCGGACCTGCCTTACTGGGGTAGTAAGGGTCGACATTTAGCTTGTGCGTGGCTATCTCTTTGGGAATACCGGGCCTATCTGCATGGCTAAAGGCAAACAAATATGCGTTAACTATTAAGAATTGGCTAAATTTACCTGGGTTTTGGAGTTTTCAGCCGATGTAGGCATTTTTGCTGGGGTCGCTGTGGTCTAGCAGGACGGGATCGAGGTCCTCTATGGTCGACCCTGCGGCTTCGCGGAGAGAAAGGATAACTTTACAGCACGTTAGGTTAACAAGTCAGGAAAGTTGTTCTTCTGAATGGAAACTAAAAATTTGACTAACAAATCCCCACACACGGCGCCAAACTGTATAACCCAATAATATAGATCTAGGTTTAAATGCAATTAGATTTATAGAGAAAAGGATTAATCCAAGTCAATATTAATATTCAAGTAGCATATCTAGTATTTTTATGGAGAGTATAGATGTGTGTTGTAAGATAAGAGTGTCTTAGAGCAATAATGGCTTAAGAACGTGAAAGATAGTAATAAATGACATTTAAGTAATAAATAGAACAAGGTTCACCCGACAAGGGTGAGATTTTCCACTGAGCTTTCTGACAATGATGGAGGATGATAAGCAATTAAATATTCCGATTCTTCTTGGATCGGGAGAAAAGATAGAAGAAAAGGAGTATAAAGGTAAACTTTGTAAGTATTCAATAAAGAGAGAATCTTCATAGAGAATGTCAATGTTGTTCTTTACAGAAATGTTCGATCGCTTTTCTAGAACTACATCTCTTCCTATTTATAAGGGTATATGGGCCATAAAACCCTAAATAGTACAACAAAGAGGAATAATCTCTTAGGAAATCTAAATCCTTAAACTAGCCGTTACCGCGTACTGAGGTCGGGTACTCGTCTTCGTCTTCTGTCGAGCCACCTAGTCCTCGATGTCAATTTGCCTTCCTTACGTGACCTCGACCTTTTAGGGTCAGGTCGACACCTCATGGCCTTCAAAGGCTTTATCTCCGTTGACCTGGTCAAATATATTACGTGAAGTTTTTCGCCCATACACTAATGTCTTGGATTTCTGATTGAAAATTCTTGTTCTTATCTATTTATTTCATTTCCTCAAAATAAAATTAAGAATTATAATGGACCCCTGTTAAATTTTTTGAATTATTATCTGTCCCTGATGGCCTGATCTAATGTCAGATTGGTCTTCACTGTATTCTAGCTTGCCCATTGGAAATCATAGTATGTTACTGTTGCTATTATGTTAACCAATAAATTATGCTTGGATGAATCCTCATCAAGGTCTTATTGACCTATGTAAGTAGTTGGGTCTTTCCTTTTTGGGTTCAGTGCCTGGAATAACATTTTAGGCTGACAGTTACAGTGATGATTTGGCATTCCTCGGGCATTTCAAGAAATATGATTTTGTGGTGTAGTTTGCAAAATTTGAAGCGTGCTAGAGGCCCGTGATTAGGGGTGTTCATGGTTCGGTTTGGATCGGTTTTCCCCGAAAAAGAAACCAAACCAAGTAAGTCGGTTTTTCAAATATTAGAACCAAACCAAACCAATTAAGTCGGTTTTTTCTCGATTCGGTTTATGTCGGTTTTTCGGTTTTTTCGGTTATTTGTCGGTTTTCTTAAATATACGACATACACTACCAAACACATATTTCGGCGACCACATTTTCAACGTAACACTATCAAATCAATTGCCCTTTTAGAAATCTATTATTTATCAAGATATATTGATGATAATTGAATTAAATAGTGATGAATAATTTAAGGACTCCATTAAAAATATATTATTTTTAACACGAAATGGATTCTTACACATAACAAAAGAAAACTACCAATCAAATTAGAATGTAAAGGTAAAGAACTATACTAAAAGTACAAACTATTAACATTTACCATAAAATTTTTGAAACTTTGTATAAAAATATACATATATATAGGTGTAATAATGAATTTGAAATAGCTATTCCTATAGTCGGTTTGGTTCGGTTTTTTTTCGGTTTTTTTCTGATTAAAACCATAAACCAAACCAAATTTGATCGGTTTTTAAAATTCAAAACCAAAACCAAACCAAACCAAAAAGTATCGGTTTTTTTTGGTCGGTTTGGTTTGGTTTTCGGTTTGGTTCGGTTTTTCGGGTTTTTATGAACACCCCTACCCGTGATTGAATATTTTTCCTGGATCCTTGACTTGTTGATGACCACGTTCCACAATGTGATTTATGGTGAGCGACATGCCAAGGTAACTTTTGTCTGGCTAGGGTTGAGTCTCATCAATCTACATGGCAAGACATTTTGATTTGATCAGGTTTTTGGAACAATACTATGTATCGAGATCTCGATGAGAAAGTTAGAGAAAGATAATAAAGAGTATTGTTGAAGAGAATTGTGCGACTGAAGTAGGAGGCACTCTTTGTTACTTTTTCAAGAGAAAATGCAGGAGCGAAGAAGGGAAGCGTTGATGTTTTTCTGGTGGAAAATTGGTATATAATTTCTCAAATCTGCTTATTCTAACCTGATGCTTCTTTCGTGGAATCACCAGGAATGGAATCCTCTTCTTTTTCTTTTCTTTTACCCCTACTAATCTATTTGGTACTGTAAAAATGCATGAAAGAACTATCCAACCAAGTTCTGAAATCCCCATTGCTTGTGTTCCCTCCGTAGTTCTTTATTACTTTGTTATGTTACTCGCTTCCATTGCACTGTTGTTATTGCTTGTTGCTTTATTCTTTCCGTTTCTTTAGCTGAGGCTATTTTGGAAATAGCCTCTCTGCCTTTATAGGATAGGGGTAAGGCTGCGTACACACTATCCTCCCCATACATCATGTATGGGATTAAATTGGATTTTTTGTTTTTGTTGTTGTTGTATTTACTATTTTTCATATAGACTGAAATAGAGAGCGCACTAATTCCCATCCCCCAAAAAAGGTCATGTGTGTTGTTTGCTTCTTGGTAAAGTTTTGGCGGGCGTAACCTAGAAGATTACAAAAGATAGAGTATCATTTTAAAATCTAATTTCCATTATGCTTTGACCTTGTTCATGATAAGTTCTCACATCGTTTGATTGTAGAACTGTTGTATTTATCAACAGAACTTCACAAAATTATTACTCATTCAATTTAATATATGTCGAACAATTGTTATTTGCGACATGCTTTTGACCAAAATATTGTCTCTAGAAGCTTTTACTTATTTTTTAGTCGAGATATCTAGAAAATAGTTAAAATTTACAAGTGGTCATTCAAAAATAGCCACAGTTTCAAAAGTAATCGAAATTTAGTCACTTTTCATGTAAAGATAAATCTAGATGAAAATAGTGTTCAAAATCTGGAAAAATACTTCCGTATAATATACTGGAGTTCTTTCATAAGTATACTGGAACTCCAGTATATTATATCGGAGTTCCAGTTTAATATACCGATCCAGCATAATATATTGGAGATTGGAGTACATGTGCTCCAATCTCCAGTATATTATACTGAAACTTTCCGTGTATTGGAGTTCCAGCATAATATGCTGGAAATTCATACACAGGTGCACGGATCTCCAGTATATTATGCTGGAACTTTTCGTGTTGCAGCAAAATAGTGGTTATTTTTCAATGATTTTGCGAACGCTGGTTATTTTTGAATGATCGGTCCGAAAACTGGCTAGCCCGTGTTATTTTTACCTCTTTATGGGTAGATAAAACAACAAACCCATTCTGGTAATGAGGGCCTATTAGAAGAAGTTCTAATGTACTCTTAAACCGAATGTTCTTCTTGAAATTACAAACAAACCCCTCCTTTTTAAATCAAATCTCCAAATTGTATGAGAAAAAAAGAGAAAGAATTATTTACCTCATTCATCTAATCTAATCCACGCTTTAAGCATTTAATAATCCCTACATCCAGAACAAATAATAAAGTCCAGTCCTAACTCCTATCCTAATCTATCTTTTTCGCGCCATCCGTTGCTACCCTTATCCAATTCAACAAACTTTGACATTATTTAAATATTAAAATGATTACTATTCGATTAGATATTATTTTGAATATCTAACTGAATGATTTGTAATTAGAGTTGCAATCAGTTAGGCTGCAATTCCATCTTTACTCTACAATCTTACAAGAAAACCCTCTATCATTCAGAATTTACGAGTTTAGTCAACTTGAGCAAAATTTTAGAAGTGCCAAAAAATCTATTTCCTATAAATTATTTTTCCTCTCTTGCAATGAAAATTATGCCAAAATTGATGACTCTTTAAATTTCCATTTGATTCATGTTTCAAATTCTCTTACTCTGCTTTAGAATTTGGATTCTAAGTATAAAAGCACTAAGTGCAAATACAAATGAGCATTTTAATTATATTATTAATAAGTTTTGCTACCGGAAGGGAAATTTTGGCGTAACCGGTAAAGTTGCTGATACGTGATCAGGAGGTCATGGGTTTGAGCCGTGAAAACAGTTCTTACAGAAATACAGGGTAAGGCTGGTCACAGGTTCGAGCTGTGAAATAGCCTCTTACAGAAATGTAGGGTAAGGTTGATCACGAGTTCGAGCCGTGGAAACAGCCTCTTGTAAAAATATTGGGTAAAAGTGTGTATGATAGACCTTTGTGGTCCGACTTTCCTCTGGACCTCCTGCATAGAGGGAGCTTAGTGCACCGGGCTGTCTTCTTTTTTTTTTTTGCAGTCAAAGACTAGTTAGGAATTTCTGATATAAAGACTTAAAACTTAAAAAGGATAAACATTAATATAATTTTCTTAAAAGGGAGATACTCATATAGTATTCCACAGCTGTGCATTACAATTGGCATCGCGAACATTCTTCTCGCCTTCAAACTATCCTGTACCAGTTCAAAATCACCTTTCAAAGGTTGAGTAACGTAATCCTCTTCTCCTCCTCCCAAAATAACTTTCTGGTTTCTCCTTATTAATCTCTTCCTTAATTATCTCCACCTACCATTTTTGTCTTTGTCCTTTATTATCTTCTTTCCTATTTTTGGCTTACTGATTTCTGCTTCTTTTTTCCTCCTGTTTCCCTATATCTCAATCTGCTCTGGTATTGACAACCTTTGATCATTGTCTCAAAGAAAGATTTTGCTTTTTTGTGACAAACCCATATCTTGAAATCACATTTCTAACGTTGTTGTTTGTATTCTTTTAGGAGATTCCAAGGTGGGTTTTTTTGGGTTTGTTGCTGATTTTACTTTCGACAATGAATTTGAGGTTTCTCTAGTTAGGAATCAATCTATGATATCTGTTATTTCCACCACTCTTTTAGGCATTTGTCTTCTTCAATCTTTCTCTGTATTGTTCCTCTATCACTTCTATGTTTTTTCATGAAGACACTTTTGGAAACACCGTCTGAATAGAAGCTTTCTTTTATTGAAGAACAAAACATCCTATTTGATTGTCCCAAAAGTACATATTGGCATTTCTGAGATCACAGAATTGAGGTGCTATTGAATTTATAGCCACAATATTGAAGAAATATGTCAGCTTTAAGGCAGAGTGCTAGTTCATCTGCATCAGAAGATGATCAAAGGTATGCAGGAATGGATGAAAAGAAGAGGAAAAGGATGATTTCTAACAGGGAATCCGCGAGGCGCTCGAGGATGAAGAAGCAAAAGCTTCTGCAAGATTTGACTGGGGAAGTGAGCAGATTACAGGCTGCTAACAAGAACATTGTGGCTAAAATTGAAGAGACCACAGAGAGATATACAGTTTGTACTGCACAGAATAATGTGCTGAGGGCACAGGCAAGGGAATTGGATGATAGGCTGAGGTATTTAAATGATGTTATTAATGACACTGGTTTGGCTGTGGATGCTGCTGATCCTTTGCTGAAGCCATTGCAGATTCCTTGTTCCATGCAGCCCATTGCTTCTTCAGGCTTGTTTAAATTTTGACGTCGATTTGGTTGTCTTTAATGGCTAGTTGGATACCTTTGCTTCCATTAGTCCATATATTAGTAGTGGTTTCTTTAATGGTAATGTCATGTTAGTTATGTCTTTGGTGGTTATGCTTTAGTGTATGCTGTGTCTGCTTACTCTTTGAACCATGTATATACCTGGAATTATCTGGGAGTTGTTGAATCACATGTTTCTATCTTGCTTGCTGGTCTTTTGTTTATGATGATATTAACAATAAGGGATAACGGATTTGTCCTGTCATGGCTGATATTGAGAATCAGGGGATGATCATAGTGAAAGCTATCATGATTTAACTAGTATTACACTAGCCACTCAGTCCTCCTTCTTTATCCATTCTTAGGAGCGGTAACTGATATTGAGAATTCAGGGATCATAGTGTAAGCTATTTATTGACTAGTATTGCACTGGCCACCCGATCCTCCTTCTTCATCCATTCTTGAGGAGGCAACTAGTTTGGGCTTGAGGAGCAGTAGTAGTTATTATTGTTGTATTGTCAATGCTACCGAGAGTGGCGGAGGTAGGATTTCCGCTAAGGGGGTTCAAAAACAAAAAAAGTTAAAAAAGATTGTAGCTAGTGAGAATTGAACTAATGACCTTACAAAGGTTTTGAATCCCCTTGACGACTAAGCTATGCTTTTGGGTTGTGTCAAGGGGATTCAAAACATAATATATAGAGGTAAAAATCAGATTTTGCCTTATATATACAGTGTAATTGTTCGGCGAAGGGGTCTTCTGCCCCCCTAAATCCGCCCCTGGCTACTGATGTCCTTCTCAGCACACATGATTATCTCGCTTGCCTCAGTTTGTCCAATGCCTTTAGGTATTTGGGTCTTCCTTAGGCTCAATAAGTGCACCCAAGCATGCATAAGTTCCAAGAAGGGGAGGGGGCGGATGGAATTTCACTCTTTTTCAGGAGAGCTGCATCCAAAATGGTGTCAATTGGTAATAGAATATAGCTAGATAACTGATGGCGCAACATCCAAAATATGTCGGATGATTTCATGGTACACAATATTTTATTAAGAAGATAGTTATATAAAATTATCCTTTTTTTCCTTCAATTTACTCCACCTAGATTGGAATATAGCAATCCGTCCGCCCAATGTTATATAGCTACAGTGAGGCCTTCCTTTCTCTCTCTTAGTGGTGAGGTTTCTGATAGAAGTCATGGTGTTGCCTTTCAAAATAGAGTTATTTATTTGCTGGGCACCATTGAATCTGTATTGATGTTTTAAACCGATTTCTTAGATTGGATTGCATCACTATATGTCAAAATGCTGTCAAAGGTAAAAACTGTATATATAATGTTTTTAGTTCGTAATATCTTGCTTCTAGTGGAGTAAACTTCAGCTCTTCAGCTTGCTGATAATGAGGCCTGATCATATGTTTTTATTATAATCAAGCTCTATGGTTTCTAAATTGAACTAAAGGAACTTTTCCTTGCCAAGTTTTGGCCTCAAAGTAGGAGTAACTGTGTTTTGAGTTCTTGTGCTACTTACATAGAGATACAGTCGTTGGTGACAGAACCCTTAGACTTGAAATTTCACAGGTCAAAGTGATAGCATTTAGCTTGGAACCGAACTCCACAATGGATACTGGTCACCCAGCCCATGAGAACAAAACGATGAATGGCTGAAGTACCCTCTTGGAAACCCTGGTGAGATAACTCTGATGCCTTAGTTTTTTGCAGGCAGTAAGGTGTTTCATGGGGAAGAAAAGAGAGGGGAGTATCTGATGAATGTTTACCTTCACTAGGGTTTGCATGAAGTATATATAAGGGACTAGTACAAATTCTGCAAGATTCATTGTTATCTTTGCTGATCGGTTGTGTAGCCGGGTCAGGTGGATATGTCAGTAACCGATCATGTCATCCCAACATTTAGGTACTCGCCCAATTTAGTTCTTATGACAGCATTAAGCGTGTTCTTATACGAATGATGTTAAGACAACAATTTATCCCTCATGTTCATAGGATGTTTGGGTATTAGTGGAAACTGTAACCGTGATAGTGAGTTCTTAATCTTAAATAATGAAATTCCTTTTCTTGGAATTCCAGAAAGTTGAATCTTAAGAGGAAAAAGCTGGTCACAGTTTGATGATTGGCCCAGAGCAAATATGTAAAAAGAAAGAGGAAGTCTCAGCAACATTTGAATCTATGCTCTTTGGAAAACTCTAGTTCATTTTCTTTGGGGAAAAGGGCCACATTTATCCCTCTACTTTCAGATATTGTTTACATTTAACCTCCGTTATACTTTTGGGACATATATATCCCTACCGTCACCAAAGTATTCAAATCTACCCTTACTTTTAACGGTGCTCCAACATGGCAGTGGACCTAGCAATTAAAATCCATGTGGCCAAACATTTGGGTGAGGTGGACGCCATGTGGCATGCCACCTCACCACTCTAACCATATATCACCCCCTCCCCCATACCTATTGTGTATTCTAAAGAGAAAGAACTACCATTTCCAGTGTGCGAACTTAAAATTGATTTTATGTAAGCTCTTTGACTTTTCAAGACCAGCTGATTTATAAGAATAGACGAATTTGCAGCCTAGAGTTTGATATTACATAGTGATAAGGTTATAATTGGGCAAAATGACAAGATTAGTTGAATCATATTGCTGTAGGAAGCTTCTCTGAGTGATTTGGTCCATTTTTATGTGAACTAAAATCAATTACAATTGGCTTTCCTACTTGCTGGAAAGGGTCACTTCTACAAGGTAGTCCATAATTTCAAGAATGGAAAAACAAGAATTGAGATCTTGATTGGTGTCCTGGTTATATCGGGTTCAATTATTGAATGGCGGTTGCCAAGAGCAACAACAACACTGAATCATCACTATATTCATGTAGCTGCTACGAAGTTCCAAACTTGTTTGAGACCATTTTGGATGCAAATCATACTGCTAATCTGCATGATCGTTACATTCTTGGAGAACAACTGGACTTTGGGGTTATTTGGGATAATCAGGAATGCTCTGACAAGTTCACTGGAGAGGTGTTGAACTGCAAATTATTTGCTAAAATAGATAGGCGACGCAGGAGGATGTGGAATGTCAAGCTTGAAACTGAAATAATGAACAAGCTCTCTGGCACCCAAACATCGTAGATCTCAAAGGCTGTTCTTGAGGAAGAAAGTTATAACCAAGTTTATGAGGAAGAGAAGGTGTGAACTAGGTTTAGGGTGGTGAAGTGGCATGCCATATATTGTCCACTTTACCAAATGTCAAGCCACGTGGATTTTAATTGTTCAGTCCACTGCCACATTGGAGCATGGTTAAAAATAAGGGTAGATTTAAATACTTTGCTAACGGTAGGGGTATGTATGTTCCAAAAGTATAACAAGGGTTAAACTTAGACAATATTTAAAAATAAAGGGATAAATTTGACCCTTTTCCCTTTTCTCTGTGGGGCTCGACAGATACATTCCATATCTTCATCTGCATTGTAACTTACATCAGATGTAATACTTGGGAACTAGGACCATCAGGGGCAGAGCCGGCCCTTCAGCCGAACCCAATAGCTTTGGTCCAAATCTTATATTTGTCTTAAGAAATTTATTGAATATGCACAAAACATTAAATATGAACCTAGTAACTTAAAAGCTTCAAATCCTGGCTCTGCCTCTGAAGACCATACATCTCTGTTGCCTTTGATAAGTTCAATAATTGGGGATAATTTCTCTATTCTTGTCCTCCTCCTCTTTACTGCATGATGTAGCCCTTCAGGATTACTACATTGTGATTGCATTGAAGTTTTCTAATGCTACCTTGTGAAAATGGTGGAGGTCTTCTACTGAAGTTAGGATTTTGGATAGTGTTTGTATTCAAATTCTTTGACTTGGATTCAGACATTTCTTGTCATTGTAGAATGTTTTCCTCCTTTACTCACATCCCAGGATTGTGTGTTTTATTTTGTTTGGTTCTCCAGCAAAACCTGTGAAGTCCTAAGCCTTTTCTGTTCATTTTTCGTAGCTTTTCTTTGGCCCAAACATGTACTGTAGTTCTGAAGTAGTTCTGGTTAATCTGCTTTGGCATTATTGCCATTTTTCTAGAGGATCATTATCTGGAGGAAACTATGCTTCCACCTGGACCGGCTTGTTATTTACACAGATTATTTCTTGATGTTACATAGAAAACTTATCATGCATATACACGTGTCAAGCTTACATGGACAATAATAAAAACTAACGAGAATTCTATTTGTTGAGCTGGAAACAAAGAGCAAATATGACACAAAAGAGTAATTACAGGAGTAAATTTATTGTCAGCGAATTTGTGGCACCGTAGTAGAATCATTGTCAATGGCACGTTGTGCGCCTAAGGTGAGGCAAAAGAAGTGAAAGCCTATAAATATTTGAAAATTGTCTCTAAACTAAAACCCTTGAGAAGGTCGATCCAATAATTAACAGGTTTGGAAAAGTGGCACATGGAATCTCTCCCTCAACACTTCTTTTTCTTTCTTGGATGTATCTAAAGAGAACCTTCATTGGAGAAAAATTAGTGGCCTAACTTTCAAATAAATTACTAGTAAATTAATTTGGCAGAGAATAAAGTGACAACTTAAACATGGTTTGTATTCTAAAGGTTCAAGTTCATTTCTTGTTGGCATGATGGAGTATTTTGCTTCTAGCCCCAAACATAAAAAAAGTGACACTAGTGGCTAGTGGCTAGCCGTGTAATAGCTTGTTGTATTTTTTGTTCTGGCTATTTTTGTAATAGTTCTTAGCCTCTTTAGTTAGTCTGTTAGTTGGTCCATTTGGTATTGGGCACCTGGATTTGTTGTGGACCATTATATAAATATACACTAATGGATCTAGAAAGATCTATCAGATGTTTTTGCCTCTTTTTCGATATACACAGAGAAGAAAATGTTCTCTCTACATGAGTTCAAACCCTAATGCAATTTTACCAAAATTCCTCCATTCTAGATGTTTTTATGGTATCAGAGCGGGTGTTTCTGACTTCTCTTATGGATCCTCAACGTCCGATCTTACCCCGCATTCGTGTAATCAACGTATGGGGTTTTTCTGGTCATCGTTTTTTTTCTTTTTTTAGATTCGAGTTTTCCTTTGAAATTTGGTTTGATTCTTCGTTTCTAGCTAGCTTCCATCGGCGTATAGATTTTTTTCTCAACGTTTGGGTCAATTTTCCGACGTGTGTTCTTCAATTTGGTCTCAATCTGGGCGGTGAAGAAATTAGGGTTTGCTCGACTTTGTTTGGCAGATAAAAT